GGTGCCACATTTTAGGAAGGACACAAAAAGTAGGGCTGCATCTAAGAAAAGAGTAAAAAGGTTGGCAAGAGAACTAGAAAATATGATGTAGGAAGAATGACATAAGGGATTGGGGATCTTTTCCTCTGAGAAGAGGCCTAGAGAGAACATGATAGCAATCTAAGCATAATGGAGAGAGATTACACTTACTGTATTTTGTCCCATAGGATTAATGTATGAAAGGCAAAACAAGTCAAATTTAGATTTATGATAAGGAAATATTTACTAATAATTTGAAGTATCCGAAAGTGGGGTCAGAGGTAGGAGTTTACCTTTCATTGAAGTCTATAAAGGAGAGGTAAGATGAATAATTATTGAGTATGTGATATAGGGGGTTCCCAATCAATAATGAGTTCAACTACAGGGCTTCTAAGTTCCTTTGTGAAATGGAGCAGGGGGAGCCAGAACAATAGACAAAAACAGGAGTGGAGAGAGATCTCAAGGTACATGTCCTTGAACTGAGGGGAAATGAGATGGAATAGTCAGACATGGAGAGGGAGGGAGGGAAGGAAGAAGAAAGAGAACACAAGGACGATGATGATGATGTAGAAGGAGAAGAGAAAGAGGAAAAGGAGGAAGAAGAGGAGAAAGAGCAGGAGAAGGAGTAGGAGGAAGAGGAGGAGGAGTGTCCAGGACAAAAAAAGGGAGTTAACGATGTCAAATATTGAAGAGAGATCAAGGTGAGGATTGAGAAAAGATCATAAGATATAATAATTAAGATATCATTTGTAACTATGAAGACAGCAGTTTCACTTGAATGAGGAATCAAAGCTAATGAAAAGTAGGAGACCCTGGGAGATTAGAATGATGAATGACTAAATGAAAAAAGTTTTTTTAAGTGTTTATGTGTTAAGAACACCTTGTGTATGGGTTTCAGTGGAGAGGAAGTATAATCACAATCTGTCTATGCTATTTTCTCTTTCCCACTGAAAAATGAAAAGTTGTGGGATATAGGGGATGGAGTTTACTGACTACTATCTTAGGTCAAGAGCATACTGACCCACTGCTCTGGTGATTGGGAGACAGAATGTAGAGTAACAATAAGGCAGGGGATACAAGTGAAAGAGTTTTGCACACTCAGCTCTTGAAAGTACCTAAGTAGGGTTATATGATAACCTCCCTCAGAACTCTATACCCCTGTGTTGTAAGGGGATTAAAAAGAGTGGAGTGGTAAAACATTGAAGGTAATGGGTGTTCGTGGAAACAAGAATAAATTGGTTAGGGTATGAGAGGAAGGTTGGGAAATGACCCAACTTCCTATCCTCTAGTTGATAACAGATCCTTTGAGGTTATACCTTGGCATCCACTTGGAGACATCTTCTCTATTGCACTTATTGGACTCTTATGCTACTAGTCAAGTAAATAGAAGGCTAGATTCGGAAAGACAATGAAGAATATGGATTAAATGACTCTGACATGCAATAATTATACTACAAGGGCAATTCAAAAATAGTGAAAAGGGCCAGTCTGACATGTAGGTCTTTCCTGATTGTAAAAGCTAAAATTGTTAGAATAAAAGTGACTGTCACTACCCTAATACTTTCCCCTCCATTGCAACATTGTAGTGATTAGAGATGAAAATGCTTGTGATTCATTATCTCCAAGTGTTTAGAAAGGCATATAGCTTTTTCACTCCTTCAAAAAAAGAAGAATAGAACAACCAGGTTTTCTCAGAAGATGCTTGGTCAAAGCAATATAATTTAGAAAAAAAAATATGTGCACTTCTTCAAAAAGAAAAACACGAGGGGAACATTTTTAAAGAAGACAGCAAAGGCAATTTGGCCTGGGCACATTCTCAAATCCATTTTTTTTACATTTCTATAAACTTATGATAGTTGAGGTTAAAGCCCACAATTAACTAATGTCATAAGCTAAAGACTAGCTTTCTTTAAATAAGCATGTATCATGCAACTGCCTTCATTTTCCTTAATGCTATGCAAAACACTGGTTTCATAATAAGTGTGTTGAACTATGAATATAAATGGCCTAGATAAAAATAGACTTTTTATTACACACATCTTGGATAACTCCAGGAAGTAAGGTACACCATAGCCCAGCCAAATGGTCCAACTAGCATGAGACTGAGAAGGTGGAAAAATTTCCCGTTTCACAGAATGACCATGATACACTTTAAGCATCGAAGAATCTTCAGTTACAATACTTGATCATTTAAATGGAAACCATAATTTTTAAACTGCCTTCATAAAAGGCATAATCAAACAGTACTTTTTCATTTCAGGCTATTCTGCATTATTGCCCTTTAACAAAATATTCTTCTCTTTTTACACTGACATTGTGTAAATTATAATGCGAAGAAGGAGAGGGGTGCCCAGGCAAGAAGGGGAAGGGAAGAGTGAATAAATTAAGCAACAATAATATAAATGACACGATATGCAAAATACATAGGCCTTGCTTATGCAACGTTCTATAGAAAATCAGTAGAAAAAAAGGGATTTTAAAAATGAGATAACACTAATACTTTGTATAAAGGTTAAAATAATTTTTGGCTTAGAAATTCTCCCTAGCCCATCTACATGCACAAAATCCAAATATACTGTGCCATCGAATGGCATTAAGAATAAAAAAATAAGATAGAGAAATAGAATGTTAATATTCTTGGTCACAATTTCAATTTTACATACTAATTCATTCCTTAATTATTATATAATTAGAAAAAGATCAACATTGCACACACACTATTTCTTAGTTTACCTTTACTCTGGTAATTCCTATCATGCAGAGGCATATCTCATTTTCACAATTACATTCAGCATGGTGAAATTGGAAAAATGTTGAACTGAATCAGGAAATCAGGATCAGCTGGTCTATTACTTCTCTGTGTGATGTTAGGTTTGACTCTCCAGCTTTCTTTAATTTCTGATTACATAAATTGAATGGGCTGCACTATGTATGTGTGTGCATACATGTTATTGCTGTTCTTTGTCCTTTGTTTTCAAAGAGGACCAATGACAGCGATATCTTTACTTGTATGTGAATTGGATTTAAGTGAGGCAGAGCTGTGCAACATCATCAGTCTCATTCTTTCTTCCTGAGTCATTGAAATCCAGTGGCAGGACAAAAGTCAAGAAGACTGGTGATGGCTCAGCCACCTTTATGTCTTCTGGAACAAATTCTTCTTACCTACCCATTCCAGCAGTGAAATTCTTTATATGGTTGGGGTAGACATCCCTCTAACTCACCACAGATTTGAGATGTGACGTGTTGATTACTCTCAACATACATGTGTATAAGTGTACATGTATGTATATGCTTAAATAGGCATGTGTGCATGAAAGTGAATATAGTCTATATATGTGAACACAAATATATAAATATAATTTTTGAACTGGATGACTAATTGCATTAGTATTGCAATTTCCCAGCAAGTAAATTCCCTCTGTCTTTGCAGCTGACTGCTATGGCTCTAGACTATAAAGCCTTTGATGGTTTCCTAAGCCCTTAAAGGTAAAATGACTTGGTAAATATCGCAAAATACAGTATGTACCAGAAGTCTTAGCATAGTTTTAAGCTTTAATAATTTCAGAAGTATAAACGCTTTACATTTACAACAAATTTGAAAGGCTAGATATTTAAAATTTTGTAATTTTTTCAGCATAACCAAAATCTTGTACTATGCATGGGTGTAATCAACTTTTTTTATTTGTTTTTTTGTGAGGCAATTGGGGTTAAGTGACTTCCCCAGGGTCACACAGCTAGTAAGTGTCAAGTGTTTGGTCTGAGGCTGGATTTGAACTCAGGTCCCTGACTTCAGGGCCGGTGCTCCATCCACTGTGCCACCTAGATGCCCCTCTAATCAACTTTTAAACTTTGCAAAAACTTTCACCTGCTGCTGCCCAGTGACTGAAATGATTGCATTTATAATTCTAGGTGTCAAAAACACCCAAAGAATGAAGTTTTGATACATGCACAACAGTCTGGACATAACCCCATAAGAAAAAGTCCAGTAGAGAGAGATCAAATGACTGAGGTGGCTGAGGAAGAGGACTTCCTCTGCCCATTCACAGGCCTGCAAAAGTGTCATTCAGCAATTGTCACGCACAATGCAAAATTACAGAGTGCCCTGTCAATAAAATTAAAATTAAAAATAACTATTCAAAATTCACAAAAACAAATCAACAGGGAAAATTAAGTATGATTTCAAATGATTTTTGGGAGTAAATTTGTAGCCTTCATAACAGTTTAAAATTATACTAAGACTTTTAGAACATTTAGTATATAAAGTATAGCATATATTAAGATGTCATACAAGATAAACCAATATACACACTGATACCCTTCCCCCATATACATCTTTTCTAATATAACTCCCTCATTTTACAGACGAGAAAATTGTGGCGCAGAGAAGGGAGTTGACTTGTACAAGTTTACACAGATATTACTTAGTAGCAGAGGAGGGATTCAGAATAAGTCTTCCAAATCCATTGCTATTTTCACTCTATCACATGGCTCATACACATGTCCTACAAGTAAAGTCTGTCTGTTTTACATACCTCTCTAATGTGTGCACACATTTGAACACACACAGACACACACAGTAGTGGAAAGATCACTGCATTTGGATACAGAGGACCAGCATTTGAATGTCTTCTTCCTCCTTGCTATCATGTAATCCTAAACAAGCCATTTTTCCTCTCTAGGGTCACAGCTTTTACAGCTATAAGAGAGTTAGAGTGGATAACCTCTAAGATAAGTTTTAGCTCCATAGCTATGCTTCTAAAATAACTGTATTAATATTTTTCAGAAGATGCTAATATCTTCCTTCCTTCGTTCCTTCCTTCCTTCCTTCGTTCCTTTCTTCCTTCGTTCCTTCCTTCCTTCGTTCCTTTCTTCCTTCCCTCCTTCCTTCTTTCATTTCCTCCTCTCCCCCTCTCCCCTTTTCCTTCCTTCTTTTCTAACAGCACAGGAGACATTTTTACCTTCTCCACCCTAGGATATTTTACCTGGCTTTCTCCTTGTTTCCAAATAGTGTGTCTGTCACCCTTGGAGTCTCTATTTTTAGACACTTCCTACAAGAGATAAGCATATTAGGCACAGGAATTCTTCTCTTCTGACTGGGGATTTGAAGTCCTAAAGGTAATTAGCTAGAAATCGAGGTTATAGCCTGTATATACATGGGCACAAAGATAGAGCACACTCAAAGATTTACACTAATAGAGGGAGCTGTGCCATGGAGAATCCTAAACAGTGACAACAAAATATGAGCCTGCATACAATTAAATACTTAGAAACTTGTATCTGCCATAATGTGAAAGTGAAAGCAACAGAACCAAGAGTAAACTGTGAATGCAGGGAACATATCTTGTCTAAGGCTGGTATCTCCTCTAATGCCTAATACACAATATGGTATATCATAGCAACTGCAGGGAAATAAAAAAGAAATAAAAACAATGAAAGAGAAAAGGAAAGCTAGGACAGAAAGATGCTATTGTAACAGAAAAAAAAAGAAATGTTAGAAAAAAGAGACAGAAAAGTAGAACTAGAAGGACCATCTTTGGCATAATTCAAAGAACACTAGATTTTTCAGATTTTACTTATTACAACTGAATATTATTTTCTTGCCCTTAAAAGAGATGGTATGATTTAGATCAGTAGTGTCAGACTCAATTAGAAGCACAAAGATAGCCTCTGTCTATTTGATGACTTAGAAAACTACACATTAACATTATCTGTGTTCTATTTTATTTTTACTCATTTTGTTAAATATTTTAAACCCATTGGGCCAATCTCTGGAATGTTGCTTGCCTTGTGTTTGACACATTTAATGATCTGATTATTAGCTTATAGTTTTAATTATCTAAAATATCTAATTTAGATTATTTTATATTATTTATTTATATATTATTCATATTATTTTTGAATAATGTGTGTGTGTGAGAAGGGGACATAAGGGAAAGTATACTCCAGATACCTCCTGCAATGTTCTTACCATTCTTATCAAGGCTTCCTGAACCTTTTCTCCCATCTCGTTCCCTCTAACTTACTCCTTCAGTTGGTCCTGCTTTCCTTAAGTTTTCTTTTGTTTTTTATTCCACTTAAGGTCTTCATCTTCCATTTTATGCTTCTTGTATCAGAAACCAAGGCAGACACTAAAAAGTAACTGGCCAGTTGTCATAGACAGGTAAGCAACATCAAATTAGTGTCTGTCTCTAAAGACACAGGGAGACTTTTAAATATTAAAAAAAAATATCCATGGAATTTTTTGATTTCTTTGATTTCAAAGACTCTTCTTCCTGTATAGCAGAAACAGTAGGCCAATGAATTGAAGAAGGCCTCCAGCACATTAGATGGACTCCAGTGGTGAACTCATGGGAGGGCATGAACAATAGTCTTACTGGATAAGCAGTCATGAATGGGCTGTGTTCTACATCATTGCAGGTATAGAGAAAAATAGTCTTTCTAATTCAATCTGCTGTAGAATGAATACACAAAATCTAATGGAACTACCAGAGAGACCTGATATAGGTTGAATACACAACATCATAATGCAATTGGTTCAACGGATATTGAAAATGACCCCACAATGTTGCATCCAAAGTGCTACTATGGACATTCCAGTCCAACTACCTTATAGAGAATATATCCTGATTGGAGACAGTGCCAAGGTGGTGGAGAGAAAGTAGGGACTTGCCTGAGCTCTCCCTCAAATCCCTTTAAATACCTTTAATAAATGACTCTGAACAAATTTTAGAGTGGCGGAATCCACAAAGAGACAGAGTGAGGCAGATTTCCAGCCCAAGACAACCTGGAAGGCCAAGAGGAAGGGTCTGTTACTCTGAGCTTTGAGAGGAGCACAATATAGCAGAGGTGGCATGAGTGCAGACCCAGCCCCAGTGATCATGAAGCAGGTCTTGGGGGACTGAATCACTGGCAGCAATGGTTGTTTCCAGATTTCTCAGTCCACAGACACCAGAGACAACTTAGAAGGGACTATTGGAACTGGATGAGAGAAAAGCCAATAAAGCCCCTGTCCCAGAAAATCAAGAGCAGGCTATGGGAGTGACAGAATTGGCAGCAGTGCTATCAGCCCACAGATGGAAAGTTTGAAAGTCACCTATTTAGACTTCCAGGAGCCAAGATGGCAGAGTAGCAGTAAGTCACTCTTACCCTCCTTTATTAACCTTGAAAAACCCAGAAGCATTTCCCCAGGAGAAAATCCTGGAATAGTAGAGCTAGCAGAAAGACAAGGTACAGCAGTCTTTTAGCTTGGGAGGCTAGGAGGATTAATGGGAAAAGTCCTTCTTGCTGTGACTGAAGGATGGGAGGCATCCTGGCAAGCCAGTGGCAAGCTCCACCTCAGTAAACCAACCACCACCATCAACTCCAGCTCAGCACCAGGTAAACTACCAGATGCGTACAGCTCCCAGCTGCCAACACCTGACATTTAGAAGGGATATACATAGACAGAGGGGTGGATTTAAGTTGACTTTGATGTGATGATAAAAAAAAAAAACTAAGTGCTGAAAATGGATTATAATGGAAGAAGAAGAAAGGAGGAGGCAGAAAAGGGAAATTACTTAATATGAAGAGGCACAAAGACATATTACAGCAGAGGGAAAGAAGGGAGGGAGATGAGCATTGTTTGAACTTTACTCTCATTGGATATGGCTTAAGGAGGGAATAACATTCTCAGTTACATGTAGAAATCTAACTTGCCCTATATACAGTAGGAGGGGAAAGGGGACAGAAAAGGGAAGGAGGATAGAAGGAAGGGAAGAAGTAGTAAAGGAAAATGGAAAGAAAAGGGAGGAAGCATATAGAAAGGAGGGCAGATCAAAGGATGTGGTGGTGGAAAAAAGCAAAGCTCTAGTGAGGAGGGAAAAGGAGAAATGAAAAAAGAAAAGTATAAACAGGGATGGGGGATAGGATGGAGAGAAAGGCACAGATAGTAATCATGACTGTGAATGTGAATGGGATGAACTCTCCCATAAAATGGAAGTGGATAGCAGAATGGATTAAAACCATAATCCTAGAATATGTTGTTTACAAGGATCACCTTTGAAACAGAGGGGTACATACAGGGTAAAGGTAAAAGACTGGAGTAGAATATATTATACTTCAGCTGAAGTAAAAAAGCAGGGGTAGCAATTCTGATCTCAGAGAATGTTTTCAATTTGCTCATTCAGCTATCATGGGATATTTATAACTGCCTATGTATTCTAAGCAGCTCTGAAAAAGCTATGCAAATGGAACCTAGGAAATTGCAGATGCTACCAATGAGGCAACTTCCTAAGCATGCAAATTAATTTCTTTTCCTTTAAGTATAACTACTCACTTTATTTGTCTTCCAGGTTTTTGTACGAGCTGATCAGTGAAACGTTCTAAGGTGATATGAGATATTTCATAGGGGAAAGATTATTTATCACTGAGGAGATAAAAGGATGCTTCTTGAAGAGATAAAAGTTGAAGTGGAAAATAAAGGACAGGGAAAGGAATGGATTTGTGATTTCACTGACCTAGGAAGCTCTTTCATGAATAAATTCTCTCTACCAATTACGGTTGATACATTCTCTGCAACTACTGACTTAAAAGCCTATTTATTTTCAGTGCCCAAAGCACTAAAACATTAAGTGAGTGGCTCATGGTCACGTGGACAGAATATATCAGAAGTAATACTTGAAGCCAAGTCTTCCTGGGTCCAAGGCCAACCCATTATTCTCTATGTCATACTGCTCCTCTGGACTTGGAAGCACCAGGATGTTTTCAAAAGGTAGAGGTGCTTAGGTATGGCCATTCTAGGTAAAGGGGATTGGTTTGTAAAAAGAGAAGAAAGAGCAGGATAAGACCATTGCAGAGGGAAGAGGGAGTAATTCAGTTTTACTGGTATATAGGCTATGTGTATTATGCACAAAGCAGGCACATAATAAAAGCTTATTGACTATGTAAAGGAGAGTAATGTGCAATGAACCTAGAATTGTAGGCTGAAGTCAGGTTGGAGGGAGTCTAGAATGAAAGGTTCAAGAATTTTCATTTAATTTGCTAAGAAATAAGGAGTCTATGAAGGTTTTTGAAAAAGCAAAGTTCATGGTTATGACAGTAGTGAGAGGGATAGTAGCAAAGGGAGAGTATGGAGACAAGTACTCCATGTAGAAGGATATTACAATATTCCAGGTGAGAAGTACATGTACCTTGTACCAATGCGATGGAAGTCAAAGTAGAAAGCAAAAGATGCATTCGAAAAAAGAAAACAATTAGATATTGACTGGATAGGACGAATAGCTTTTGTCCCTACATTTGCCCCAAGGCCACATCTAGAAGTGGAACCCTTTTAACTTGTTGTTATAGTCATGGATAATTTTTATTGAAAGAGACCATAGAAATAATCTAGCTTAACTTCCTCATCTTATAGATGAGGAAACTGAGGTTGAGACATGAGGTCAATTGACCAAACTAACATCTTGTGTTAGTGGCAGAGGAAGCACTGGAATCCAAATCTCCTTACTCATAGGTCGGTGCTGATTCTACTTAGATGCTACCATAGTGTTTACTGATCTTTGTAGTTTTTCTATACTGTTTCTATCATGGACATAGGCATTGTTGAGGTATCTTCTTCAGTAATAGGGTCCTGAATTCCATTGCAGATGATCAAATATCCACATATTTGTCATGTGTTCAAATTGAAGAGTCAAGATTTGAACCTTGCTTTCTGACTTAGTCTAATTTATCTTTAAATTGGAGGTGAATGTGAAATTTCTGTTCACCTTTCCCAAGCATCTCCTGGAAATCTGTATCTTCTATGAGTTAAAAGCCTTTCTGTGTTTGAATTCAGGAAGAGCCACTTTAAAATCCTACCTTAGAAACTAACTAGCTGAGTGGGCCTGGACAAATTACTTATCATCTATCTGGCTCAGTTTCTTCTTCTGTTAAATGGGGATAAAAATAGCATCTCCCTCATAAAATTGTCATGAGAATAAAAGGTGATTTGCATGTGTGTGAATGTGTGTATCACTACTTATTATCATAATTGATAACAACAATAATAATTTGTAGTTATCACTCTGTGTCCCTAAAATGTGATTCACTAAAAGAGAGAAGCAGAGCTTTTTCACAATTCTTATAGCTCTCAGTCCTTTAGCAGAGACTAAAGGGTTGTGTTTTCTTGGTTCACTTGCCAATCATCTTTGACATACACTCCAGTTAGGGAGATACAAGTTATCCAACCAGAAGCTGCTAGGGGCAGCTACGTGGCGCAGTAGATAGCACACCAGCCCTGAAGTCAGGAGGACCTGAATTCAAATATGACCTCAGATGTATAACACTTACTAGTTGTGTGACTCTGGGCAAATCACTTAACCCCCATTGCCTAAAAAAAAAAAAAGTAGGAGCTGCTGGCTGCCCATGTCCTTCAGACCCAAACAGGTGGTCCACCAGGTATGTGCTCAGTCATATCATTTCTATCATATTTATATATGTCTCCCATGATTCAATCGAAGCTACTTAAGTGCAGAAATGGTTTCATTTTTACCCATGAATCTCCATGGCACATAGGGGACTTAATAAATACTTTTGTGACTGATTTCTGTCATGAATCTCAAGAGGTTGTATCATTACTTGTAGCATTACTGACTGATAATTATTTGGAGTCCCACAGAACTGTACCAATCTGAATGTGCTTTTGATCCTGGTACTGAAAGCTAACATCATCAGTGAGATGACTTCATTTGGCTTATGGGTAAGGCTCAGATAAGGTGTGATTTGGGCAAACAGAACAACTCTTCTAATCTGAAAGCACTGCTCATGTTTTATTGCATTGGTATCTAAAATCCCCATCATCAAAACCAACAACACCTCCTGGGTGATATATGTCACACCTACACTATTTAACTGGATGAAGGTACTATACTAATTAGGAGGGTTACCAATTAATCGGCTAATTTATGAGTGTGGTCTATCAAAGAACATGGCCCTGAAGGAATGAGACATAGTATATACAAATGTTGATTAAGAGTGGGGCAAGAAACAGGA